AGTGGGAACCTTGGTGTCGAATCAAGTCTTTAGGACTCTCTGGGTGTGAGCATCCGGTTGGATATCGGCGCGACCTTCCGAAAAAAACTGATAACGGTTTTGAGATGGAAGTTAGTTCCATCAAGTCATCACTGAGGTGGCCATCGGTCGGAATGAATCGTGGAATCTGTTTCAACTTCGTATTCAATGGTGAACAATAACGTTGGTGAATCCCGTTAGCGCATATACGGCCTCGCAACATCGATACCCTGGTAGACTCAGGTCGACATCTCTGTTGTTCACTTCGAAAACTGCATTTCCATCAGAAAATATGGAGCACTGCAGATCTGATCTCGTGGATTTGGTTTGAATCATGCGGTGTTCCACTTGGACTTTGTCTCCAAACGACAAGCACAACCTTTGAGAGTACGTTCCGTCATTAGTCAACGAAATAAGCGTTGGCACTTATTCCAGTGGTAGTCCGTTGTTTCTGCGAAAAACCGACTCTGCAGCTTCACAGACCTTCAAATTGCTGCAAAGTCATACTGAAGCTAAATCCAAAGGCTAAAAAGCAGAACTCGTTCACCATTCATACTGAACACACACACTCTTGAATCTCTATACAGGCATCATGTGTCCATCGACTTTCGTGTTCCTGAGCACTGCCGGCCCATCGCCCCAGAGACAAGATTTTTCCCCTGCTTCGAGACGGTAGAGGTATCGTGACGCCGCTTCGTCAATGGGCGCCACGACCTCACAATAAACCCCCATGGCAACATTTTAAAGTGTGTGCTGAAGTGAACACCAAATGTGAAGGTGGCAATCATGCCATAGTAGCAGCCAATAAGCCCATCACTCAAAATCGTGCGCAGGTGTAGTGGTTTAACAAGGATACAGTGTTTCCCGGGGAACAGGGGCTGTCGGTCGAGCATCTCGGCGAAAATGCACCCCACGGACCAGACGTCGATGGCGCGGGTGTAGCCCTTTGAGTTGAGCATAATTTCGGGGGCGCGGTACCACCGGGTTGCGACGTACTCCGTCAGCATGCCGTTGTGGTCGTGCATGGGATCGTTCAACCGCGCGAGCCCGAAATCGCAGATCTACAAGGCAGTGAATGCGAAGAACATGAAGGACCCGAAGAAAGCAAGCTTCCTGTCTGACAACTAAGGAGGTGGGCTGGGAAAAAACGCTTGGGTAGTCCGGTGGCAGGCCGAAATTCGCACAATATGGCCATTTGGAGTTGGCTAACAAGGACATTTGGTTAAGCAGTGTGAGGTACAACTTTAAGACTCTGTTATAGCCAAGACGGTTATCAACATTACCATTCAGAGCTTTGTAGACTTCACTAGAGGTGAGAATTTGGTGAAGCAAGATCCGAGCTGTGTGTGGGGAAATGCGACATCACCTCCCAACCAACCACAAATAATACACCACAACGTTGTTGGGGAAACACGACTACGATTCGGTTTGTCAATTGTGGACTCATTTCATCCATTGCTTCATGAAGCTGTTTTGTAAGTTTATTAAACTGACTGTGTGGCTGCTTGGAGCCAGCTCAAAATGCACAACACCACTGTGGTCCCACCAAACCGACAGCTCGCGCTAATGCGAATTCAAATGGGACAGATCTCGACGTGGTTGGCATTGGTCAATCGCACTGGGACCTTGGCCTTTTCTGACGCATCCTACGGTAGACGTTGTACCAATGGTGAGTCGTACCAACGTGGTGCGACCGTTTTACCAGCATAGACTCGCGGTATCGAGTGGGATTATTTCAAATCAAGCCAAAATTGCTGATTCAACTGACATCAACCAATTCAACAGGCTAACAAGAACAACGCTGGCAAACTTAAAATGAAAGTTTTCCAGAAGACAAGCATTTTAAACAAATCCCAGCACGTGCGCTCTGGTACGTCATCACACCATGAGCTTAGCCTGTTACTAAATCAACTCCAACAACTGAAATGCCTCAAAAGTGAGCATTTGTAAGAAAATGAAATTACTTTCTTGCCAACCAATCAGCTTCGGCCTGGTCAACCGGTTTGTTAATGGAGACACTACGCTGACCCAGCTAGTTAAATTAGGGTCAGATCATATTTTTCCAAAATGTTAAACAAGACCGACGAACACACCGATCATTGGTTTTTGATTTGTAAATGACCTCTTGCGTACGCACATCGATTGAAACGATACCAAACCAGTACGTTCTAACACACGAAAACCGATTTTGCAAAAAAAAACATTTAGCGGGAAATGTCGCGCTTAAATGACCCTGTGGCTAAGCAAATCGTCGGAAGTGTCAGGCTTGGCGCACACTGGTTGCCTTGAGGGGCCATATCTGCCGCCAATTGACTAGTCCGCCACAAGGGAGGTTTGACTTCAAGGTAAAGGGGTGGCGTCTCGAAGCAGGTACCAAGTCTTGCCACGAGTCTGGCGAACACTAGGCTTCGTGGAGCGATGGGACTGGCAGAAAGAGTTGGCAGTTCGAAAGAGGAACGATCTCAGTTTTCAGCATTGCGATTTAGACAAAGGACGACTTTGCAGTAATTTGAAGGTCTGTGAAGCTGCAGAGTCAGTTTTTCGCAGAAACAACAGACAACCCCTGGAATAAGTGCCAACGCTTCTTTCGTCGACTAAC